TGAGCGATTTCCCTCAATATTGTTGAAATAAAAATAAAAACCTATTATACACCGATTTAAAAATAAATTCCCAAAGTACGATGGATTGAAAGTGTGGGTTGTAAAAAGCCTTTAAGGAAATGAACTTAATCTCTCAATGTCAATCTCAAAGAGTAAACAAGTGTTTGAATTTTAATGAATGATTGATCTCCCTTCCTCAACTAGAAAAAACAGAGCAAAACTTATGGAAACATAGACTAAATTAAATTAGTGGACATCAACTTTCAAAAAATAAGTTGGGTATTTTTGTCTAACATTAACCAATAGCAGGAAAGAGGCCAACATTTACCTTAATAAGTTCAAAGAGACCAAATTTCAGTGCGACCAGACTAAATTAAATCTATGTAGGATTGGTATTTGGTTCAACTTACGCTAATGTCATCAACGATTTTATATTAAATCTGCTAACAATATTAACGATTGTTTTTTTAAACAAAAACAAAAAGCCTGGTAGCACTGAAATTTGGTCTCTTTGAACTTATCAAGGTAAATGCTGACCTTTTTCCTGCTTTTGGCTAAGGAATCCGTGAATTAACTAAGGAGGCAAAGAGATCGGTTATTAGTATAATGCAGTCTCTTTTCTAAAACCACTAATTGTAGTCGCAGGTTTAAAACTACACCCGTTATTCCCGTTAGTGGTTTTAAGCTGAACCAAAAGAAAAAAATATATAATGCTCAACACTGATCCTACGTAGATAGTATTTGGGGAATTTATTTTTGTTTTAATAATATTGTTGGAAATCGCTTACCATTTTAGAAAGTTTCATAAATATTGCAACATTTCTCCAGTTGGACGTGTTTTCTCTCTTTACTCATCATATGGGTCCTTATCTTTATTTCTCTCTATTTCTTAAAATTCGTGTCTCATTTCCATTTTGCAAAGTCTCCGGAATGGAGATTGCGAAATGGAGGAAATAGATGTTTAACAAAACAAACAATACGTATGGAGTTTAAGAAAATAACTACATTTAATTAGTGTAACACTTAAAAAAACGGAGAGAGTGACGTAAGTCCACCACGACGACGACGCCGATGATGATGATGTGCCACCGCCCACTGCCGTGGATGCGGTACGTCTCATAAAACATTTGTAGTTGTGTTTTTTTTCATATAATACGTCTCATAATACATTTTCCTAGTTGTTTGTAAAAGTTAACATTATCTGTTCTTATAATTATTATTTTAAGTTCTTAGAATTTGACATTATATTTTTAGTTTTTATAACTTTTATTTTAAGTTGTAATTAGTGGGCATACGAAAACTAAATACAGGTTCACATTTAAATGGGAAAACTAAATACGAAAATTAGAATCCGAAAATTAAATAAATGGGAAAAACATAGCAATAGCAATATTAGGTCACATAGAAAAGGCAACTAGATTGTTCCACTGCTGCACCCGGTCATGATATAACGCATCCCAGCCCTCTACGCTTGCTGTACGAATGGTGTACCACGTTGGTATAATCGGTGGGACCGGAAAATCGGGTGACAGGTCCAGTCGGATGAAATGTCTGTATGACGGCCCCAGAAATCCAATAGCAACCTCTCTTACCGGTCTGGTGACGGTCTCACGCGAACACCAAGGCAGAACCGTGGTACACGGATAGTAAGCTCGACCATGCAAACCAAGGCCGAAATGCATCACTGCACACTTGTAGATGTTTGCAACGACGAAGAGATCAAGGGGCGCGTCGAACCAATGATTTTGACCGCAACGTCCTCCTCCCCACCGGATACGCTGCAGAGACCTATCCAAGTCCTGTCCGTACACGTGGCGATAAACAGCTCGGTTTGAGGCGATTTCACTGTACATCAACTGACGCACTAAACCGTAGTTGTCTTCACCCATCTGAAACACATCAGCCACAACCCGAAATCCACAGTTACCATCTGCAACCACATCATTCCACCCGTCCAGGAACGGCATCATGATGTTAGGGATCCTGTCTTTATATGGAAAATGTTCAATGTCCATTCTGCCTGTTGCACACATCAAAAAACACAATTAACAAGTTAGCAGAAAACTAAACAAACACTCTAAAAAGTAAATTAAACTAAAGTACCGTACCGGTGCCGGGCATATTCACCGACGAAGATGTTTGACTACCACTTGATGACGATGTACGACCACGGCCACGACCACGACCACGACCACGAATGTACTCAAACGCACTCCTTTCCCGCCGTGGTTGTCGGCCCCGTGGTCGCTCGACCCCCTCAGGTTCCTCATGATCCAAGCACGACGAGTTGAACATGTCATGAAGTACGTGGGTAGCACTACGAATGACTGAAGGGTGGCTGGAGGACACTTGGTCAAACATCGAACGAAACTGCTCCAACTCCTCCTGTTCACGGTTGACTGTCTGTGGAACAGCATGCTCTCCGATAACGAGCGTCCGCCAGAATGGATGAACCTGATCAACATGTAACGACGCCCTATCTTGCGTAATTACGCGGTGAATGGTGCATGCACAAGGTAGTCCATGAGTCACCGATATAGCACATCCGCACCGAATAGCCACTTCATCACCCAACTCCCTCATCCTGGTGTGCTCGCTCAGAATCAACCCCAAGCAGTAGTGTGACACACGACCATGGAGAATCTTAAATATGAAATGGCTATACATCGTGCCATGTCGCCGTCTGGAGTCCTCGAGAGAGTTCTTGATGCCGTTCCTCTGAGTATCAATAGCCTTGTTTATTCTCTCGAACAGTGTATCCAGAGCAGAGGTGGAAGAATCAATCCAGTCCTTCAGAGCTCTATGAGCGCTCTCAACTCTACATGTAGTAGTGTTTCCAAAATGAAGAACTTGGTTTGTCCAATATTTGACAAACTTTTCCCTCTGAGGCACCCACTGCTGCATCACATAGTCTACGATTGCCGGGCACCATTGGTATGCATCCTTGAAGTTATCCAAGGCTCGGTCGTACTCTGCCTCCGTGGTAGCTTGCAGGATCTTCCGCCACTTACCATTTACCAATCTCTCTGCTGAATCTAAGTTCTTGTTGAAAAGGTTGTAGGCTTTGACTTTCACGCATTTGTTGATGTGCCATGTGCACAGTAAATGGCTCGACTCCGGAAACAGCTCCGCTATAGGGGCAAAGAGACCTCCCTCACAATCGCTGACGATGGCCGATGGCTGAACACTTGGGCCGATGTAATTTCTCAACTTCTCCAACACCCAACGGTAACTCGCAACCGTCTCATCCTTCATAACTGCATAACCAATCAAAAAGTTCTGGTTCGTTGGAGTCATCCCAACCATCTCAACCAGTGGAAACTTATACTTGTTTGTCTTGTACGTTGAATCGATCAGAATCACAGATGGCCAAGACGAAATCATATCAGCACAATCAGGATGCACAAGGAACAAATGAGTCACCTCCGATGTGTCTTCATCAGATTCAAACCAGTACAGGTAACCACGTGCTTGTGCCTGGTGTAGAAGCTGCTGTATAGGGTTCCTTCCCTCTGACCGTTCAAACCTCAATTTATGTCTGACGTTGTAGATGTGTCTTCGGTTTGGCTGGTCTTCAGGAAATTTCTCCAACACAGATGCTAATATTTTAGCAGGCTTCACTTGAGCATCACTCATTTCTTTTACAATTAGTTTCGCAGCAGGACTTAGGCCACTTAACTGTCGATGACCCACTTCATATGCGATCATCTCATGGTTGTGATACCCCCATTTACCGTAACTCTTCACTTCCCAACCGTCACCCCTTTGCTGTTGTCGAACCTTTACTCTGAACTGACACCCACAACCTTTCCGCTTTGTATCAAACCGAATCGCTTGACTGAAATCTCGTTCCTCCCTTTTGCGATAACGGTCGCATCTCAAAATGCGATCCATTCTACCATCCCGTTGAGATTTATGAGTTGCTACTACTAAACAAAAACCTGATCTAATTGCAACCTGTTTCGCCCAATCAACCGCTTGTTGAGCATCTTCGAACAGACCATCGTGTACAAAAATCCCACTATAATCATTTCCGTCTCCACCATAATCCTGCAACAATAACATATAAATATAATCACATAAGAGTAGATTAAATTAATACATTTGACACAACATTAGCACAAAAGCAAAAACAATAATAAATTATAAACAACAAACAAAGAAATAAACAAAAAGTATTCAAAAAAAAAAAAAAAAACAAAACACAAAAATAAAAAACATAAACAAAACTTTAGATTAAATAAATAAAAATAAACCAAAAAAATAAAAACAAAAAAAAAACATAAAACGAAAAAAATTGTAAAAAAAAAAATAAAAAATAAATAAATTAAAAACAAAAACAAATTAAAACAATTAAAAACAAAACAAAAAAAAAACCAAAAAAAAAAGAAAAAAATTGTAACACAAAAAAAAAAAAATAAACAAATTTTAAATTAAATTAAAAAAAAAAAAAAAAATAGTGGTGGCGCCTAGCCAGGACGCCGCCACCGTGGCGGTGGCGTCTAGCCAGGACGCCGCCACCGTGGCGGTGGCGCCTGGCCAGGACGCCGCCACCGTGGCGGCGGCGTCTTGGCCAGACGCCACGGCCACGGTGGCGGCGTCCTGGCCAGGCGCCAGAGCCACGGTGGCGGCGTCCTGGCTAGGCGCCACCACTACGGTCACGGCGTCCCGGCAGGACGCCAGCCGCCAATTCGTGGTTTTAGATGGCTTCGTACCTCCTTTTCCGGCGTCAACGGCGTCTCTCCGGTGCATCTACCCGACGTTGAGGGCTCTTCGGTTTCACTCGGCGATCCAGTCCTGCTCCACATTTTTTATGAGTGAAAAATTTTATTTTCGGTAAAAATTAAAACAAGGGCAATAATGTCAACATTTTTAAAAAATGTGGGCTTTATGTAGAAAAACGCGGGCGATGTTTAACAAATCCCCAAACATGAGACATGAGTCACATGAGGTCATGAGTATGAGTGTATAACGAGTAGTCGCGTAATTAGGGGCTGAGTTGTAAATCTTGTAAGACTACCGACGTTACGCATCAACGTTCAACGCTTCCACAGTTGCATCTCACTCTCTCTCTCCTCATTTCCACATAATTCATCTTCCTCTCATCAATTGATTCATTCAATCATCTTTCACTGTTTCTTAGTCCAAATCTTTCAGCTGGTAACTCTTTCGATCTCTCTCTTTCCGTTTCGAATTTCATATCGATCTGTTAACACTTGATTTACCTTAATTTAATTAAATTAGTGTTAGTTTAATTTTATGCGATTTCCAATCTATGTTTGTTTCATTTTGTGGATAATTTTGTTGTCTTTACTATTTATATTAATGAATTAGAGTTACGTTTTCTCCATTTTTTTGTATGTTTAACTTGACTCTGAAGTTGTTTTGGATTTTTTTTTAATTTCTTGAGTAATTAATTATAGTTCTAAGATTGAATTTATTACACTTATACAAGCTATTTAATAGAAAATTTAATATAATTTAATCTATGTCCTTAAGATACGTGAGAATGAGGTATTTGATCGTAAAAGATGTAGGAGGAAAATTTTTGTGGATGACTATACGGAACAATTATTTTTGGTTCACGTAGCCGACCCCACTTATGGGATTAAGGCTTTGGTTGATTAATTGATAAATTTACTAAGAATTTGAGCTGCTTATTAGGGATGCATTATTGACTAAAACTATGTATAGGGATGATTCGCGAGCTCGTGATACTCGGGTTTTTATCGTAGATACTGACACCGGTGGCTAAATGTGTTATTGATATAGTGGTTCTATACTGATATTATAAGTAGTGTGTATAGTTAAGCATGTTTCTTATTGATATTAAGTTCTTTGGTGAAGTTCCACCTTTTGTGTCTTTAAGATACTTATGCACGTTGTTGCCGCATTTTTTCCAAATCGGAATCAGATTTTCCGGTTTGTGAAATAGTGGACTAGTGAGGGTGTAAAGGCAAATCCATTTGGATACTTACATTACTGCATATGGATCCTGATTTGTCCTCATTTTCGGAAATTAGGTTTATACATATACCATTTTGAGTTTTGACGTAAATTTAATAGTAATTTTGTGTATGTATTGCTAGCCCCTCCCCTATTTTGTCTTCCTTGGTATAATGGATCAATGGGGTTATTGCATTAGGTTTGTGAGGCTACTGCTAGTCATGCTTTGACCTTTGTTGTCGAAAGCTTGCAGAATTGAGGAATAATTGTTTGTGACTACGTGTAACACATTATGATGTTAGCAATGGAAATATATTGTGGTTAAATCGCACACCAGGTACCATTAAGCCGTGTTGTGGATAGAGTACCAAAAAATCCGGGTAGGATGTCAAACCTTTCAAACCGTATTTTGTTTAGATTTTTCTTATGATTGCACCAAAGTAGACAACTGAAACCCCGCCACCCCCCACCCCCCTCCCCATGCCCACCTCCCTATCTCTCTATTTTCTTTTCTAAAACTTTTACTTTTTTACATTTGCTTGAATCTCATACTCTATGATTAAATTTTTTGCTCCTTTTTGCTTTTATTTGATGTTAGATGTTAGAATATGCTTTCAAGATTTTACAGCATCCTAACCGTAAATGTGTTCATCCTCCTTGTAAAGTCATAACACTCAACAGCTCTTTAAACTCGTTTTTTTTTTTCTTCTAAATTTCAGGTGATGATATCACCCAAAATCTTAAAGTGGTTCTAATCAAACATTACAGACATTGCGTAGACCTCTCAACTCTGTGAGTAGCTTAACCGTTACTTTATATTCTTAACACTATGAAAGATATAAGAGTAACCCGTCCTTCTGTTGTTGCATCTGTTGAAAAAACTCAGAGTCAGCTATCTGACTTGATGAACAAGAATGATTTATCATCCAACCGTGTTCAGTACACCCCTGAAATTGAGAAGGCGTATGTTCACCAGGTTTATGATGCAATTGCTCCTCACTTTAGTTCAACAAGATTTGCTAAATGGCCTAAGGTTGCATCATTTTTAGATTCTTTGCCTCAAGGATCTCTTGTCCTGGATGCAGGATGTGGAAATGGGAAGTACCTGGGTTTTAATCCCAACTGCTTTTTCATAGGATGTGATATAAGCTCTCCTTTAGTTGGTATATGTACAGAGAGAGGGCATGAAGCCTTGGTCGCTGATGCTGTAAATTTGCCTTATAAAAGTGACTTTGGTGATGCAGCAATCTCAATTGCTGTGTTGCATCACTTGAGTACTGAAAATAGAAGGAGAAAAGCCATTGAAGAGCTGGTTAGAGTTGTTAGGAAGGGAGGTGTAGTGTTAATAACAGTCTGGGCTGTAGAGCAAGAAGACCAAGGTTTGCTAAGTAAATGGACCCCATTGTCGCATAAGTACCTAGATGAGTGGATTGGACCCGGTAGTCCATGTGTGCGTAGCCCCCGGTCATTGAATTTGGAAAGCATTCCCGAAAGCGAGGAGAAAGGTCCTCGAGAGTTATGCGAAGTCTCTAGAGAGTCCCTTGGTACAAGGCTGGATAAAACCATGAAAATAAACGCCCAAGAAAATTCCTATAATGATGATAGGTGTAAAGAAAATCAGCAGGAGTACTTTGTTCCATGGCACTTGCCTTATCATCGTGCTGAAATTAATGGTGCTTCTGCCTGTGCTGTTGCAAATGGTCTGGCAAGAAAAGATGACAAGAAGGGTGCTGTGGTGTATAAGCGATATTACCATGTGTTTAGTGAAGGTGAACTTGAAAGGTAACACATTACAGTGCACTTATCATCCCTCTTTAAGATTTTGCTTGAATGTGAATGGTTAAAGTCTTAAAATAGCTAGCTGCATTGCTATGAAGTATAGAGTACATCCTATAGACTGTTTCATGCATCTTGCTTTATTGATTCCGATAGTGCTACAAATGGGGTGGAGAAACTATCGTCCTCGAATTAAATGCAATTCTGCTGGAGAAATGTAGAAACTTATCTAGTGTAGGTAGGGTATATATTCTTAAAAAACAGTATTGTGAAATAGGCAATGTCCATGTCCAACAGTGATTTTTTTTTTTTTTTTTTTTTTTTCTGTTTAATGTCAATGTTCTAGATCTACTATATCAGAAACAAACAAGCTGATAACCCACTCTGCTATTTTCAAAAAGGTAAAATCTTTAAGATCCAATCATTTTAGTTGATTAAATGTCAAAGATGCAGATGTAATCTTGAATTTCGAATTATTTCCATATTCGTAGTTCTCCATTATTTTTCAATTCTCAGATAGTCCTTTACCACCGACACCAAAGGAGAGAAGATCAGTCTTAGCAATAATAGTAAACAGAAAAAATTCTACAATAAGAATTAATCACCGCATGTACTAGAGACATTTATAATCTGGATTTAGATGAACCTGAGGTTCAATCAACTTATGTAGTTGAGACTTTTGGATTTAGAAGACTCCAAAAAATCAAACTTGAAAAATGAAACCTTTTTGAATGCTAGAGTCCTCAAGAAATTGGGCTCAATTCAGTTGATCTTACTATTCTATAGCTAATACCCTATGACCCTACATTAACTTTTTTTTTTCTTCATTTGGAAAAATTGACGCTACCGGTCCTAACTATGAACATTCTTCTTTAAAGATCCCAATTATTGATTAACTCATGGCAGTACTAGCTTTGGGGGATCCTTCTTAAAACAGTCTTTGACTTATTATGACCGGTAAAACGGATAAAATTGCCACGTATTGAATTTTTATTGGTTCGTTTTACTGAATTTTATTGTTTTAAGGTGAAGAGAACAGGGCCTAAAGGAAGGTCGTGGGTCTTTAGAGTGGTGGAGGATTAATTTTTTTTTTTACTACGCCTAACGAAAATAAGACACGTGGCAACTATTAACCGGTTAAACCATTTAATAATATGTTAGGGACTGTTTTGAAAGGACCCCCCTAAATTTGGATCACCTTGAGTTAATCAATAGTTGGGACCTTTTCAAGAAAACTAGTCATAGTTGGGGACTGTTGGCGTCAATTTTTCCTTCTCTTTTTTGCCTGATTTCCTCACGTGATATAAACATAGCTGCTATTACTTATCAACTTCATGCACATTGTCTTCAAGTTTTACATGTTTGGAATTAGTGAACCATTTCCCAACTTCATTCATTCCATCTTGTGTCAGCATGATTGGGCGCTGTTGAGTGCAGCTAATTTTGCTGAAAGTACCCGTGGAGTTTTTTTTCCTTTTTTTTTTTTCAAGGCTTCAGAAGAATCTATGTTTCTGATGAGCAACATCCTTGAGTTTCTGATAATATTTTCTGTATTTCTGTGTTTGGAACTTTTCTGCTGCTTGGTTGTGCATATCCTCTGACTCAAAATTTGAGTTAATTATTAGTTGGAATGGAGCTCCATAATCTTCTTAAGTTAGTCCATCACGAAAACAAAAAGGTAGTAGTTGATAATCTTGATATTGCTCTAAATGATAGGTAGCCTAGGAACCAATGTTCTGTAGGGAAGCTAATTTGAGTAATTTCCATGCAAAAGGTGAGATTTCCAAGAGTACAATCTAGCATAGGTAGTGGAAGCGATAAGTGTATGCAGAGCAGACTGTGTCTGGTAATTAAAAGTTCATAAAGAATTGGAGGATTATCTTGCTATGCTCTTTTTCCTTTATGGTCGGTTCCTTATGACAATTCATGTTAGCTAACCCCAAACCATTTTGGGACTAAGGCTTTATCATCGTTGTTTTTTTTATTTTTTGGGGGTGGGGGGGGGGGGGGGTGGTGGCTGCGAGTTTTTGACCCATATTAGCACTATCTGAATATTGCCAAGCCAGCAAATATGCTGATATCTTGAAAGCAACTCTGACAACTATGCAGTGGAGAAACAAAATTGTTTGTACTTCTTGCACTTGGTTTTGATTGTCTATGATTGGTTCTTGCAACATTTACAGACCCAACTGCTCCTTTAATCTTGTGCATTCATGTCCTATAAAATTGCTCCTGATTTGTTTGATCGTCTTGTTTCCAGGTTTTATTAACATGTTTTCTAAAATTGACCATCTTCATTTCTTGTAAATTTGCAGATTAGTGTCTGGCATGAGCAATACTGTAATCGTGGATCGCTTTTTTGACAAATCAAATTGGTGTATTATTCTTGAAAAAACACAATGAAAAATCTTTACGCACACCAAATACACCACTCTAACTTTGTTGCTGAGTTGAGATCAGTAAGTAAATCACTGAAGCTGCAAATTGATTTTATCATAATATAAGTAAATTTGTAATCCTCATCAAGCTTTTGCGAAATTGCACTAGAAATTACTGTGGGTGAGATAGTCGCTTGGCCAGCTTACAGGATGTTCTTTGAAAATCAGGCTGCGCAGCCTGCGCTGGTTATAGTTTTACTTGTATCATCATTTTAAGACGCACAGTATAGGGCAAAGTATAGCGTTATTTTACAGATTTTTTGGTTAGAAAAGATTTACTTGTATTACAACCCTTTCTTCTTTCTGTTTTGTTAGACACAGGGATACTCTAAACTTCTCAAGTATCAAATGCATAGTTGGTAGCTGATATTTTACTCACTAAATCAGTTAACAAAACAAAGTTGTTACCCTAAATAACTTACTGATTTTACGTGCTTAATGGTTCAAATTTAATAGCTTAAAAAAAGCATAAATATTAAGAACTGAATCTAACTAGAGAAGGGATTGAATTTTAATTAGGAATATATGATTTTAAATGGGAATTAGCTTAAGTCCTATACAACGCAAGGTTTTACCTATCCTAATTATGAATTACAATGTTAATTTAACAATTATTTGCAAAAAAAAATAAAAAAATAAAAATAAATTAATAATCTGCATTTTTAATTGAAACAAAATAATTTGAATTATTAACTTGAATTGTAGTATGTATATTGATGTCAAAAGTTATGGATAATTAAATATTTAAAAAATAATGATAGAAATTTAATAATTATAGGGTTTTAGTTAAGAATGAAAATATATGTTAATTATTACCCGTGTAATGTAATTATATATCCCATCCGTTTCTATCTTATAGGCATACTTTGACTGACACAATGTTTTATGAATATATTCAAGTTACTCAATTTGAGTAACATGAATTTTTACTCAAAGGGCACGCTGGTAATTTTCGGGTGGCGTTAGTATGGGCAAAATAAGGCAAAATTTTCTATGCTGGGTTAACTGTAGAAACGGAGGGTTTGCTCTTGGTGTTTAGAGGAAGTCATTTTCAATGGAGCTCACAACCAAGGTTCAATGGGGAAATTTGGGTGTTGTCTTCACCTGCAGATTCTTACACCGTCACTCCGTCACTCATGGTTACCCTTAACCTGCAGATACGTCTCCGATGTTGTTTTCAGCTGATCATGACGGCGGCTCTGATGTTGCTTTGTCGGGCTTCTTGGTGAACCTTTCACTGCAGAATCGTAGACCGTTGCTTCGCTGGCTGTGGTTCTCCACTTTCTTTTGATTAATCCCCGGTCGTGGTTGCTTAGTTGGCCTTCTTGGTGAGCTTTTGCTTTCTCTCTCTTGGACGACTAGTAAACCAGTGCTAAACTCCGTCAACAAAACCGTTAGCATTAGAATATTATTAATCGCGTTTTTCAAGGTAAATATTTACCACATTGCCATTTGAGTAACAGCCTTTGCTACTCATTATGAGTAACCTAGGCTAGCTCAATGTTTCATACTATATGCAAATTTAAATTTCATGAACATCATAGGATATAAAATAATTTTCATGAATATTTGGGGAAAAAAAAAAGTAAAAATGATGGGAAATTTTTTAACTAGAGGATATATGTGGCTGACCACTACATCAACCATCATACATAATGGAGGAGAGAGAGAGAGAAAATCTATACTTATATATTAAAAAACATTTCTAATACAAGATATGTGCCACGTGGCACCTTCACATGTATTAGAAGTATGCCACATCATCCATTGTACTATAAATATGTTTCAATTGCAATAAAGATGTTTATAACAAGCTTTGAACACAAGACCAATAATAAATGAATTAATGTTCTTACCAACTTTGCTATCTTTTAATTATGCTTCATATTCAATCATAAAACACTAAATACTTTAATTTGTACAAAACATCAATTTGAGAGCATTTATTTAGTTTATTTAGTTATTATTGTCCACTTATTTTTTGTAATTATATAGTTTATGATTTTATAGCCCAAATAATATATATTGATATTCAAAACAAAACGCGGTCCGGAGAAACACACTAGTTTAGATATTTAAATGGAAGTGACAATTGAGTAGGAAAAAAGAAAAATATATAATGCTATCGAATGTGAGAAGGGTTCTAATGGTGAGAAGCGTGAAGAATGTAGATACATTGACCTTGTGTTATAAATACATTATAAATACATTGTATATATATTAAAAATACATTGCAAATACATTAACTTCTTCTTTTTTAGTGAGTAGTAGACAAGGGGGTTAAATGGTAAATGCATGTATCATGTCCGACGTCCATTATCAAAACACAAAGCTAAATTCTTGTAATTAACGAAGGGAAATAAAATCCCCCAAAACCTACAAAATTATTTGCTATCATCTCCAAATTCAATGTCAACATTTAATTGTGCTTTTTGATAGGCTATCTCTGATCTCTATTTTTTATATAATGTAGTATTTTTGTTTTTTCAATTGTGATTTTTGGGTGATGGCCTATTGAATGCTCGTCATATTGTCATTCCCCTTAACTTGGTTAGATACTTGCTTGAGTGAAGCCTATAAACATTGAAGATACTAATTAGGTACATCGTGAGTAAGTTTTATATACATTAAAGATGTATAATGGATACATCGAAGGTGTATAATGGATAGAGTAAAGATACACTAACAACTTTCTTAGAATGGAAATTTAATTCAGAAATAATCAATTTGAAATTGCAATAATTAGAGAGGAAAAGTTTGAAGCAAGGAAAAGAGAGGAAGTATAGATGGATGCCATGTTCAAAGCTCATAGTTGTAGTGCTCTAAATTTCTAATAGACCGGTAAGATAAAGGATGAGAGAGAAAAGAAAACGACAATATTGGCAGATCACGTGGTCCGTGGTTGAGATATATCTAAAATTACAACAAGTGCCATAAATGAAGCGGATTCATTGTTATTTGTTGGATATATCTGATCCAAGGGCGATCCAATGAGAAGTGCCCTTATGGTGAGAAGCGTGAGAAGATCAGATACATTAAAAATGCATTGCAGATACATCGACTAAACACTATAGATACATTTAAAAGATGACAAGTGATTTATTTGACCACTTATTGTGGTGATTTTAACCCGGTTTTGTAATCTTTTCCCCACTTTCTAACCCCCTTTTGTATATAAATGTTGCATTTTGGCTTTGCCCTTCCTTGTGTGTTTGTATACTTAGTTTGCAGGTATAAGTGAAGTGAGGCAAAGCAAGGAAGTGATGAAAGGAGAGGCAGTAGCATAGTTCATTTTAAAACAAACAGCAGTAGCATAGTTCTTAGCAACTTTCTCTTAGTTTGGAACAATCATCTTTGGTATTTTAGCTTAGAAATCCTCAAATTAATCATTGTAGTAGCAAGTTTCAAAGATTATTCTCAAGATTCAACATTTGTACTCAACATTTGAAGCTTCAATTAGTAACTTCTTTCACTTTTCTCTATTTAATTTCTGATTTCATTTTGTTATTGCATGTCATTTAAATCTCTTTAATTCTTGATAATTTGTTGTTGGATGTTAGTTTTATCATTAGTTAATCACTTTACCCCAATTATTAAACTAGTTAGAACCCTAATCTTGGTTTGCATGTCACTTGAAATGAGTTGTGAGTAGTCCTCTTTGCTAGGGGTTGGGTGAAGCTCAACCTAATGGTTAGTTAAGTAAATTTGGGAGAAGTATTGATGTTTGATTTGTGATTAAATTGATTGTATGAGATTGCTTGTTAGTTCTTCATGATAGGATTAGCTACCCTTGAATTAGGAGCTTGATGGCATGTTATGCTTAGTTTGACATGGAAATATAGATTAAGTATGTCATTACCTATTGCAATTTGATTATGTATCTCTTATTGCTAAACTAATGAGGGATCTAAGTTTAGTAGTGTGAGTTGTTTTCCTAATCGCATGAGGTTGGTCTTACATATAGCCCTTGCTATCTCTTGTCTCTTTTACTCCCAATTTGCCTAATTGCCATGGTTGAGTGGATCCCATTCCCTAGTGCGTTTAATTACTTGATTTAGAACAATAGTTTGTTGTCTAATTGACGAACACCCCTTTCAACAAAAGACTTCAAATTAGCTTGAGTGTTAAGATCTTTAACAATTATACCCCGTTCTTTGTGGACCGAACTCTTACTTATCATTGTGTTTGGTTTGTGAGGTGTTTGCTTATAAATGTGTTTGAATGAGTGTGGAATGTGCGACCGTTCTAACGCCCATCAAAATGGCGTCGTTGCTGAGGAATGATGTTGTTAATTGCTAATTGATTACTTGAGTCTAGTTCACCATTAAAGGAAAATTACAAAAAGAGTTTGTTTCTTTTTGGCTACACTTGTAGCCTTGTTACTAATTGCAATTGTTGAGTGTGTATGCGCAGAACCCATAACAGGATTTTGGTACCTTACGATCCCGAGATTGAACAAACTTTTAGAAAGAGAAGGAGATCCGGTTCTAGGCCGTTAACTACTTCCCCAGCTAGACAGTTCAACTCCGAGGAACAACAAGATCAAATGGGTGATCCACAGCCACCACCTCAAAGACCTTTGAAGGAGTTGGGAACTCCAGGAGCTTATAGAGCTTCAAGTGGGATTGCTCCCCCAAACACCCCGGCCAATGACTTTGAGATCCAGTCCGCGATGATAAATTTGATTGAAAGGCGGCAATTTAGTGGAGCAAAGCACGAGAGCTCTCTTGCACACTTAAACGAGTTTGAGAAATATTGTAACACGATCAAGGTGAATGGGGTCACTCAAGATTTTGTGAGACTAAAGCTTTTCCCTTTCTCCCTAATGGGAAGAGCCATTGAATGGCTTGAAAAGGAGGTGAGACCCAATTCTTTGAGAGCTTGGGATGAAGTCACCACGGCTTTCCTAGGGAGATCTACTCTTAAAAGAAGATGGCCGAAGCAAGGGCTTTGATCCAAGGCTTTCGACAAAGTGCTAGTGAAACCATATATGAGGAATGGGAAAGGTATAAAGAATATCAAAGGGAGTGTCCTGATCATGGTATTCCCACATACCAAGTGCTTCAAATTTTCTATGGAGGCTTGAGCCCCCAAGGGAAGACTAGTTTGGATGCGGGAGCCGGTGGACCAATAATGAACAAGACGGAGGAGCAAGTGATAGAGATCATAGAGGATGTTGTGAGGCACCATATGGATTGGAAAGAAGGAGAAAGGGAGTCCTCAAGCAAAGGTGGGAATGCGGTTTACTCCGTCGATCACCTCAACGCTATCAACAATTTGATATCTCAAATCGCCAACCTTGGCAAGGAGATGACATCGATCAAGGCAAAGCTTGAATCTTCCTCTTCACACCAAGAACATTCCTCCCAATTTAAGGGGAGAGGTATGAGTTCTAATCTTTCTACTTCTACCTC